CCCCCCCCTTTTTTTTTTTTTTGTATCCGAAAGATTTTCACCCTCCGGCTTTTGCGTTTAGGAACTAAGCACTGTGTCCACCCAGATTCCAAAGGGACCATGTTTTAAGGAATCCTGGAATCTCCCAAGGCCTGCCTCTCTCTCTCTCTCTTTCTTTTTTTCTTTTTTTTTCTTTCCTTTTTTTTTTTTCCAGTTGTCACTGGGAATCTCAACTGACAAATTTGTTTTGTTCTCCTGGGATAATTTTTAGTTCACGTGTTTTTCTTTTCTCAAATAATAAAAAAAGCAACAACGCCCCACAATATTTTTTTTATTTGTAAACTGGGCTAGGAGTGAAGAAGACAGATGTTTCTTCACCTTCTTTTATTCACATTAATATTCTGGGATGGGGATGGGGGGAGGGACGACAAGAAGACCCCAGCCGCAGCGAAGAGTTTGCAGGAAGCCAACGGCGAAAGGGAATTTTTTTTAAAAAAAAAAACCACGATCAAATTGCACGAACAAAACTCTTTTGACATCGATGGTCGTGTGAACGCCGCCTCTCCAGCAACGCACGGATTCGAACTGGACCCATTCTTCAGAAAACTGCTGTGACTGTCTACTGAATTTAAAGCCTGATTTTTTTTTCCTTCCTTTTGGAGAGAGGGGAAACGGCCAAAGCCTGAGTATTTATTAAAAATGTGAGAGGTTACTAAAAACTGGAAGGTTTTTTTTTTTATGGTTTAATCAGTTCTCACTAGTTTTTTTTTTTTTTTCCCCATACGAAATTTGACAGGGCATTTAGTATTTGTCTGTTGCACAAGACAGGAAGTTAGAAACAAAAGGGATTTTGGGAAAGAGGCGGGAAGTTAGAAACAAAAGGGATTGTGGGAAAGAGTGGAGATATATATATATATAAATATAAATATATATATATATATATATCTCGATACCTTTGCTTTTTCCTTCTGGAAGACTGTGTATACTGTACAAATCCCAAATGAATTTTTTCCCCCCGATGAACCAGAAACTGTAATATATATTTTGATTATTCATATTAAAGAGAAACATACTGCAGGTGTTCGGGTGACGCCTTTAATGATCTGGTGCTTTTGTGTTTCATTTTGATTATCCAAGGCTTAACTTACAACAATTCAGTCAGCGACAATGTGAAGTTAACAACGGCACTGACAAAAAGGGACTCGTTACCCTTTTTCACACAATCATGGCGTCGTCGTGTAATCAAGATTCAGATGCCTCACACTTACGACGGTTAGGCCGTGTCTTGGGGTTGCGTGATCCCCTTTTGTGACCTGCCAAGCACAGTCAAGTCAAATTCATTTAAGTCATGTGAATGACTTAAATGAATCTGAAGACTGAAGCCTAAGACTGAAAATCAGGCTTGTCAGATGCTATATTTTTCCTATCCTGCTCTATGGAGTAGAAAGTTGGTCTCGGACAGAAGGCCACCTGAAGAGACTAGAAGCATTTGAAATGTGGATTTACAGGCGGCTGTTAACTTATAAACTGGATTGACAAGATCAGAAACGAGGTGATAAGCCGCTTGAGAAAGCCAAGGGTAATAATCAGAACAAAAAACCGAAAATTAGAATATTTCGGACAGGTGATGCGACACCCAGAAAAATACAGCATACTCCATTGAATCCTCCAGGGAAAGATGGAAGGCCAACGAGGTCCAGGCAGAAGAAGAACATCGTGGCTTCAAAATCTAAGGGACCGGTTTGGACAAAACTCAGCAGCACTTTTTCGTGCGGCTGCGGATAAAAACAGGATCGCCAACGTCCGATAACGGATATGGCACAAGAAGAAGAAGAATGACTTAAACACTGCAGTGCTTTGCTGAACACCTCTGGCAAGAAAAATCATAAAAAGGGGGCAAAACTCACTTAACAAACTGTGTTGTTTAGCCACGGAAATTTTAGGCTGAGTTGTGATCGTAAAAGGTTTAATAGGAGACGAATCACTGGCTTGCTTTGAGCAATCCAGTTTAAGAGAGTCTTTGTGTGGGAAAACCTGGAAGTTTTATTGCCGTCTTTACCACCGTGGTCAAAATTCAGATGTCTGGCAACCGGCTCATATTTATATGTCAGTTGCAGTGACCTAAAAGGGACTTTTATTTTTTTAGGTCATCTAGTCCAACCCCCTGCTCAAAAGCAGGAAATCCTACATCATTTCAGACATATGGTTGTCCAGTCTCTTCTTAAAAAAAACTTCCAGTGTTGGAGCATTCACTGCTTCTGGAGGCAGGTTGTTCCACTGATGAATCGTTCTCATTGTCAGGAAATTTCTCCTTAGTTCTAGGTTGCTTCTCTCCTCGATAAATTGACCACTAATTTATCAATTGACAACGGAGGCAGATAAATACGTAAGACCAATACATTCCAGCTCTCTGCTTAGGAAGAGATCTTTTTACATTCCAGAGCAGGAATGTGTTGCAGGCTTTGACTTGCAGCAATGCAAGGTGGCCAACAGCTCAGGAATCCTGGTTAAATTTCTACTTAACAGTGAAATCAGTTTAATCCTTGGCTATAAAAGCATCTGGGTTAGGTTGGCAGTCCTAGGACGCCAGCTAGCGGCCGTATCTTCTTCTTACACCTTAGTTTCTGCTCTTTTTTTCATGTAACTTTATTATACTTTATAAAGGAAAAAAAAGTCAAAAGAGAAAATAGGAGACAAAATAGAGAAGTAAAATGACCGACAGGTGCAATAAAATAAAAAAATACAGAGAGAAAAAAAGATTAAAAAAGAATGACTTCCAATTTCTTTTAGAGCAAATACATATAAAACTTAAGCTCACCGTTACGACCTAAACTCCATTTTTGAAATAATCTGTAAATATCAGCAATCGTCAAACCCATATCATGATTTTATTTTTTTTTCTCTCACACAAAAAGCCCAAAGATTTAAGTTCCTGCTCTTCATTTACCACACTTGGTTTACATTCTTCTATTATTATTATTTTATATATCTAAAGGACTCCATATTAGAAAGGATGCAATGCAAGGGCACTCTGGTTTATTTTTAAATTTTATTTATTGATTCAATTTATATTTTATTATGCGTAAATAAGGACGTTTTCCTCTGAAACTATCCTAGCCTGGCCTGCATTTTTCCCTCTGAACTTGGGAACAGCAGGGAACCAGATGAAAACACGAGCAAGAAGTAGCTGTTATTAGAACAGAAAAAGTGCAAAGGAGGAGATTTAATAGTGAACAACTTTTCTCCTCTTCATTTAACAGTTCCCTCTTTGCAAGGCTAAGCACTTTCATCCTTGAATTTTGAAGGAAAAACCTTCACCAGTTAGAACTCATATTGCTGAAATCCTGCATGGATGGGTGGATGGATGAATGGATGGAAGGAAGGAAAGAAAAGAAAGAGGGAGGAGGGAAGGGAGGAAAGGAAGGAAGGAAGGGGATGGAAGAGGTAGAAGGGCAGGAAAGGGAAAGAAGGTTGAAAAAAGGAAGGCAGAAAAGGAATGAGGGAGGAGGTGAAGGAAGGAAAGAAAAGAGGGAAAGGAAGAGAAGGAAGATAAAAGAAGGGGAAGGAAAGGAAAATAAAAGTAGGGGAAGGGATTGGAAGGGATTCCTCCCCACCAGGAAGGCCTTTTGTGAAAGGTGGGGGCCAGGGGGCCACCTTTGCCCTATCTTGGCCTGGTCTCCCTCGCCCGGTGACCTTGACTCCTCCGGATTGCCCACCGCCCACATTTTTCATCCCCTTGAAGACGGCGTTGGGGGACCTTTCTGTCATTAAGTGGATTTACGGCAATTTCCTTATGAGTTTTCTCCAAGGGATTGTGTTATGAGAGGCACATTAAATCTCCATTAATACCTCATTATCCCACTGATAAGATTACCATGATAATGAGGCAGAAATTCTAATTGTCTCACTTCTTATTGTGCCTTTCATTAAATCATATACCTGGAAGGATGAATTTGGGGACGGGGGTGGGGGGGAGGAGAAGGACGCATCTCCAGCCAACAAGCTCCGGGAAGAAAGCTCAGAGGTGCCCAGGACCCTTTTG